CATCTGTAAAAAAAAGTTATCATTTAAGTTATTCTTAATAGATTTGACACCTAACACTTCCTGCAATGAGAGGCTTAACTTTGTGGACCACAATACCTATTATTCTCTAATTTAAACACTTATATTTAATCCAGTTAGCATGTCCCGTATTGGGATGATTTAGACAAGGTATATGGTGTGGCACTGATGGAAGTTGTGGTTCTCCCCCCTCCTTTATACAAATCACAGGCAAAAGTAAAAATATACGAGGATTTCCCAACCAAAACAGCCCCAGTCCTCCTGTTTGGAGTGGGAGTTTTCCTCCCCAAGGTGGATATCGAAAGTGTCCCAGAACTTGTCCAGGCAGGACTTGAAACTACTGATACAGGCTTGGTCTTACTTCCCAGTTAGGCGTGATTCTTAGCTCATTCCTTGGATCAGTTCATTACCGCCGGTCTCTGCTCAAGAGTACATTTGGTATCACTCAGTTTGGGTATTACAGTCCAGTCCTCAGGTCTTTTGATCTTATTGGTGTGAATCCAACTTCACTCTTTGGTCCAAATTGCAGCTTCTCTGCCTTAATTATCAGTAGTACCTGAAAACAATTTCTTAATAACACAGGGAGAATGAAAACGTCACATCAAAATTTTCCATCAGTATTCTTTAAAATTCTTGGGTTAAGCGAAATTTAAGAGTTAACATAGGAGCCAATCTCTTTCTGCGCGTTCAGATTAGTTAAACAAGACAGGCTAGCTTAGTTTTGACTTCAAATAAATTACATTCATTACCTTTTTACCTTTTGGTTACTATTTACTTGTTTAGCTTCACAAACTTCTTTTATCGGTTTCTTAGAACAAACCCCTTCCTTTTAACAACAAGAGTAGAAGAAAGAAAGGGAAGAAAAAAATAAGAGAGATAAAAAGATCCTATTTCAAGAAATTAAACACCTTGATGAGGTTTTCAGAACCTAATGAGCAAGATTACTTTTGCTTTGGTCTCATCATCCACCGGTCTGTTTCTTGGCCTTTTTTCCGTTCCTTCTTTCCCATTGACAGCAGTTTTTCAGGCTTTCTCTCCCCCCACCCCTGCTGCCGCAGCTCTGGGCCAAGCAGGCTGTTTCAGCCGCTGGCTCTGCAGGGGCCCACTTGCGTCCTTGCCAGTCACTTGTGTGCTGACCCTGGGGCAAAGCTTGTGTCCCCTCTTTCTCTGCTGTGCCGTCCCTTCACACACAGGACTGGCATGTTCAAACACACTCAGCTCCCGCCACTGCCGAGGGGCAGAGCCCGCAGTCCACAGTGCTCTGGTCTGGGGCTCCTCTGCTGGGCCAGCTCACTCCTCAGCGGCAAACCTCACCCAGCACCGCTGCCGGGCCGGAGAGCACTGTCAGCACCCCGCACCCCTCGAGACCCCAGCACAGACACGGCGGGTCCCACTCCAGCAGCACCACTCACGAACTGCGCTCTGCACCCTTCACATCGGGTGGGAGAGGACCAGGAACCGCCACACCGGGCCCCGCTGTTTGCCACTCACAGGGACCGGGTCCTGCTACAGCCGCTTTACATAAAAGCAATAAAACAACACCTAAACCTAGCAACTCTTAACCCAGCACTCCAGATGCTCCTAACATCTCCTATTTCGGGCACAATTCTCATCTCTAATCGTGCTTGAAAGTTTTTCTCCCCACAAGCCAGTGTTCACTCTTCGGAGCCAACAAGACACTTCTCGCTCTCTTTCTAAAAATCTTTACAAATCTAATGAAAGGAAACGCAAACCTCTCTCTCTTTTTCTCTCTGCCACTATCATCTCGCCACTTTTTACACCACATCCCTCCAGAATCTCCACTACACAAATTACTTTGCTTCAGAATCAACAACAAATTCTAACACCTCCTTTTGGGGACGCTCCCCAAAGCCATCAAAGGCGCTAGACACAGAGACCAGTCAGCTAGCGAGCTACTTTTACCAACTAAAACAAACTTGCAATTTCTATTTCTACTTCCTTGAACAGATCTTTAGTCAAGCTAGAAATGAAGACACAGACATCATTCTTCTCTAAATTTTCTTCTACAGGTACAAAGGAGTCTATCCTCACACAGCTGCTTAATGTGAATAATCTCTAGTGTAACTTTTCTCATGACAAGATGTGATCAGGTCTTTTATTCTTACAGGCATTTAGATACATTGACAAGTTTCTGACAATACCTTTATGTTTCAACAGTACTTGCAGCTTATATACTATGAACAATCTATAGCAAGAACCAGTCTTACAATTGTTTTCGAACTCTTCTTTCACAAAATAAGACTCATCTCTAAATTAACACATGTACTTATTAAAATAGACCAAGTTTAGAGTCTCCACAATTCTCTTCTTAATTCGAAACACCAACAATCTTAATTTTAATCTTTTAACTGGGTCCACTTCTGCTTCTGTAATAAGCACAGCTGCAAAACAACACAAGCACTCCTAGAGACGCGCACTTTCTTGGCAAATTCAAAAGAACAAGAAATCATGGCAGTTCTGAGCCTGATCTTTAACTAAACACACCATCACAATAACTCCTTAGCAATCATCAGAGAGATGATCAGCATTTCATATTGTGAAAAGAGACAAAATAATTTTCAGCAGCAGTAAAAAGATTTACAGCAATCCACAGGATTTTGCTTTTAGGTTGGCACCAGGTTCTGCTGTTAAGAACTGTTGTGAATTCATGTTGTAAATATTGGCTTTTCACAATTATTCTGATAAATATATTATATGCTTTCACTATATTCTTTTCTCTCTTTGCAAGTGTTAGGCTTAGATAGGAATTCTGAATGGTAAGGATATGTCTCATCTGGAGAAGGCAAGATAACTCCAACAGGCAAGACAATGGGAGGATCAAGCTGTGGAAAACAGGCTATTATCAGCAGCAGGAAATGGAGAGCAAACTGTTACCAAAAAGCTGGTACCAGGACGTTGGCAAGGGGGAAAGATATGAAGCCCATCTGCTCTCTGAGGAAGTATAAGGGGCCTGGACCCTTATCAACAAGTGACCATCTGCAGCAGAAAGGAAACCAAAAACTCCGAAATAATGCTGACCAGCTAGACCAGCAAAAATTATGCTGACCAACAGAAAATAAAATTGAAAAAAAACATGATCCAAGAAGGTGGAACCAGGGAGGGGATATGCTTGAATATGCATTAACCTCTCGCAGCAAGGATGGGATAAAAAGGACACTCCTGAAATACCAGGTGTGCTCTTGGCAGCACGCCAAGGCACCCGGCCGTATCTCTTTGCTTTACTTTATGTCTCTTATTGTCTTTATTAAACATTTTTAAAATTTTACAGGAGTGAATTTCGTTTTTCACAGAAATTGGGGGCTTGTCTCCGATTATGCACCTCGCCCCGGGGAAACCAGGAGATTCCAGGTGGAGGATGACACCTCCTTGCCAGTTTTGGTAATCTGCTTTGGCTCTTCTGGTGTTATCGGTGGTAGCAGGGCAACACCCGGAGGACAAGAGAGAGACAAGTAAAGCAAAGAAAAATAAAAACAAAAAAAAATAAAGGTAATAAAGCGCTCCTTCAAAATCCCATAATCTTTCAGGACCTGAACAGGAATTGGTAAGTACTGATCGGGGGGTTGGAAACGGGGGGATGAATGTGTGTGAATGAGACGCAAGCTGGTTACCCCAGACCTGCGGAGCGAGAGCGGAGTCCATAGTACCGCGGTTCCTATCTTTCACGAGAAAATAGGCCGGGAATTGGACGAAGCGAAAGAAAAAGGAGAGAATCCCCCCGGGGTTTCTGAGACTGGGGTCTCAGGGAGGGGTTGAACCCCTGGAAAGGAAGGAGTCGGGAGTTCTCCTAAGTCCAGTGTACTAGGAGACGGGACAAAAAGGGGATAAAAAATAATAAATCCCTGGGAATATTGCCAGGTTGAGGGTGCAAACCACGGGAAGTGTGGGATACAGTACCCAAGAAAATCTGGGGGGGTTGGCCAACAACATTGAAGGTACCTTATTATTGTATTGTCTTGGTATGAGTGAAAAATGAGTGAGAAAAACCGATTAAAGAAATGAGAATGCATGTGTGAATGAGAGATCGTGTATAACTGTATCTTGAGGGGGGGGGAAGGTGGACTGTAACAAGAGCATTGAAAGAAGGATTTGGGAACCGTAACCCAGAACCGTAACCCGGAACCGTAACCCGGAACCCTAACCCAGAACCCTAACCCGGAACCCTAACCCGGAACTGTAACCCGGAACCGTAACCCGGAACCGTAACCCGTAACCCGGAACTGTAACCCGGAACCGGAACCCAGAACCGGAACCCGGAACCGGAACCCATAACTCAGAACCGGAACCCGGAACCATAACCCAGAACCCGGAACCGGAACCGTAACCCAGAACCGTAACCCGGAACCTGGAACCCGGAACCGGAACCCGGAACCGGAACCCGGAACCGGAACCCGGAACCCGGAACCGTAACTTGGAACCGTAACCCGGAACCCGAGCCGGGGGTTTTACTGGCGCTGTGCTGCCGTGGGAGTGCCCCGTGCCTACCTGAAACGACCCTCTGGTGTGCTGGTGCAGGTGACAGGCTTGATCTGGAACAGGACTGGGAGATCTCATGTAGGTGGTCAAAGTTTATTAGAGAAATCGTTAAATTACAATGACTCTTATACAAAGATAAGCTGCAGTGCCTTCTGAAAGGCAAAGGTATTTCTGACCCATAGAAACTGATACAGGTTACTCAGACATCAGTGACTACAGCAGGCTTGACAGTAAAATAATGAAAAATCATTTTGCCATTAATCTTAGTGGAGTCACAGTTTCTTCTACCTGGTACATCCAATGGGATGTGTACACTGTGTCAGCACATAACTGCTACCTCCTGCCAGCTGCCTTTCTGTTGCTGTCTACCTCAGCAGCATCTCTTCTGTCCCTACTCCATCCCAGGAGGGGATTGTGGGGATCCTCCCTTGTTTGCTGTGTTTAAACATCCAGAGCAACATACATCTACGGAGCGTTTCTAAATTCAACATGACACTGCTCTCATCTTTAACTGGATGGGGAAATAAGAAGGTGCAGAATGCAACTCTGTTATTAGACCTTTAAACTAAAATTAAAAAGAAAGAAAACCCCGAAACAAAATCACTGTTCATTTCTCATGGAGAATTCAAACCCTTCACTGGCATGTTCCTAGGAATGTTCTTTTTTCTGCTTGCAACAGTCAGCAATCACGGAGCTGTATTCCAGAGCACCATGGTGTTGTCCTGGCGGTGAGATGAGCTGTCAGAGGGTTGCACAGACCAGCGCTGCTGTCCACACAGCCAGCATGAGACTGGCTGTCAGTTTGGGCATGGGGTGCGGGTGCAGGGATGGGGTGCCAGAGGTGCAGGAGCAGACTTCGTAGCCATTCTTCGAGCGGTTCTCGTCGTGCTGCCCCGGCCTGGAGCGTGCCCCAGTCCTGCTGCTCCCGGCTGCCTCGGGGGCATCAGCCTGCATGTTACTGCATACCAGCCAGTCCCTGGCGATGGACTGTGGGTACCCGGGCTGCACCTCCAGTTCACTGTCCAACACCTTCCAGTACTCCTTGCCCTTGAAGAAGTAACTTGCACCTGCAAAGAGACCAAAACCCAAACACAAGGTGAGTGCGGTGGGTGCTGTCCTAGAGGAAGAGCACTTGGAGTAGCAGAGGAGCGTTCCCACCCCAGCTGAACCCCAAATGTGGAAGCACATGAGATATCACTGCTTGTTGTCAATATCCCCTGTTGCTGCAGGAGGGCTGCTCCAGAAGGTGCAGTGCCTGGCCAGGATCTCTCACGTCAGCCACCAGCAGTTGGAGGTGGAGGGTGAGATGCCGCCTCTTCTGTGCTGAGCCCTAGAGCAGATATAGCTCCTGGTACTGTGGGTGTGTAGGGTCAAGGCCCTGTGAAGCCACAGCTGGACACACCATACACAGCTCTCCTTCTCATAATAGGGCATGACAAAGCTGGAGACTCTGCTATCCATTAGTGAACTGGGGTGTATGCTGCTGACCCTGGGCTCAGAAAAATAACCTAAGCTTGACAGGGCCCTGGGAACCTTCTGCCCTCGGGTACATTTTTCTGCTCTGAACTGGGAGGTTGTGAATTCTCTAAGCAGGCCCCGTGCACAGGAGGACTCCTATCTATAGGAATGTCACTCTCAATAGCTTTGGAAATTCAGCTCGAGAAGTCTCTGGAAGTGGCCTTCCCCTCTGCCTGGTTTAATGATTGCTATTACACTTTTAGGTCACCAGTAAATAAGCCCTGGAAGTGCCACTTTGTTGTGAGTGAATAGCTGAATGTAAGTATCTTCTGTAACAAAATTTTTGTGGTTTTTTCAGGGGGAAGAAACCACTAAGAAATATCATCCTCAGAAAAGAAGTTGTAACTCTGGGAAAACATCTTTTAAAATATTTTCTGTCTGTTTTAGCTCATATATCCAGCTAAAAATCCAATGACAACAAAACCATGGAGGAGCAAATCAGCCCATCCTAGGATAAAAATCACTGCAAACCAGCATCAACTGTGTTCTCTTAATAAAGTGCAATAATTATAATTATATACATATTATATATTTATATATTTATATATATATATATAATTATGCCCCCATGATATTTTTTTTGCCTGTTTCTTCTAGTGAGCAGTGGGGAGCTCTGGCTGGAGTCATACCTTTCTCTCTTCAGCTTCCGGTCACCAGGAACATCCCATCAGGGCCTCAGCATTTGTGTTGGCAGGCAGGGTAGAAGGGGTTACAGCTCAATAGAGAACTGATTTTCTTTGCTGTGATTTTTTTTAAACCGCAATACGGACTCACCATCTGACCACCTCATGGCATCGTCTAAAGGGCTGGGTATCCCCTTCCACAGGACGGCCACCAAAGGATACCCGGGATCCATCCTCTGCTCCTGGTCATCGTAGCGCCAGTAGAGATTGTCCTTAAAGAAGTAAGTCTTGTCATTGTGAGCCCAGGAGAAAGCAGCATCGATTCCTCCCAGGGGCAGGCCAAAGTCCGAAATTGGCCGCGGGTATCCTTCCTCCACGTTGTTGTCTTTGAAGACCCAGTATCTGTCTCCTGTGGAAAGAAAACAAGCACAGAATAAAATCACATTTGTTTCACAGCCTAAACCAGTATTTCCCCACAGATGAGCTGAGCTAATGTTCTATTATCTACTGTGGTGACAAAGCCTTGAGGCTGAGCTCTGGGGATTTAAGGATGAGAGTAGGAAGGGGTCACCCCATGAAGGAACCTCTGGCTTTGAATAGCTGCTCTTTTGTGTCAGGCTGTCCATGGACATAGCTAGCACCTGTTTGCTGCAGAAAGCATGACTGTACCAGGACATGAACGCACTGACAGATTCAGTACAGCTGTCACTTTTGTGTATTTGATGGAGGCATTTGGTTTTCTGCCCCTTGGATTTCTGCCTGGTATCCAAAGAAACAAAGTTACAGGCAGCTCTTGTGGACAAACTGGGCACTTTCTGCAGGCTATCTGGCTCCTGAGAAGCCAAGTGTAGTCCACAAGTGTAGCCTTCCATATGCTGTTCCATAGGAAGATGCAGGGCTTGGTGTGGCGATGCAGGACTCAGTGTGCCAGCAGCCCAGAAGGGCTTTGGATGCACTTGGAAAGGCCTTCTGCAATTGTAGGGGCTTTGTGTGGGACATGAGCCATCTCTGTGGCCTGGCTGGGGGAACTGAAACCAAATTACTGCTTCCAGAAGTGCTTGGTTCAGCACTGCTGTAACTGATAATTGCACCATGTTTCAAGCAGAACGGTCTGGAGACAAAAAGCAATTTCCAAACAGCAAGAATGGAGGGCTGGGATGTGTTTAGCACTTCAAGTGCACAACCTTGATGAAAAAGGAGTCAGCGCTTGCCAGGATTTTGCGTGACATTGAGTGCACGGGTGGCATCTAACCAGCACAGCTGGATGGTCTGTGGGGAGCTTGGACATTTGCATAGAAACCAAGAGTTAAACTGTTCCTCCAGCTCTTCTGAAATAAAAGCTTGCAAGTTTTTTAGATTAAAAAAAAAAAGATAATTATACCACTTATTTTAAGAAAAAATACAGTAACAAAAATATAATTATTAAAACTGAAGGTCTTCACTTTCATTTTTATTTCCTCTCTGACTCTTTCTTTTCTCAGAAACAAATACTAAAAAGAGAAAAGGTCAGAGGAGTAACACATCACCTGTGAGTGTGTGTAGGGGTGGTTCCTGCTTGTGTTTCATTCTTGAAAAGCTCAGATTTCAGTTAGATTTGGCCAAACTTTATCTTCAATGACATTTCCCTCATTTTCTGGGGAACAAGACCATTATCTTTTGCTTGCTCTCCCTGCCAGCTTGTTTCTCCTAGTCTTGCTCATGGACAACAGATTTCAGACTGGCCCTCCAGATGCTTAATATGTGGCACCGGTGTCTCCTGCCTAGCACCACATTCTATACCTCCAGCACCATGTTTGCTCTCACCTTTGAAGAAGACAATTTTGTGGTCGCTGGTTCTCTCATAGACTGCGTCCAGGCTGTCCAGATTGAGTGGCAAACCCCGCCAGAAACGGTGAATCTGAGCCGGCTGGAGGGACACCAAGTGCTTATTGCGAGTCAGTCTCCAGAAGTACTTGCCTGGAGGGACAGACTGGATATTACTGAACCACACTCAACTCCTCTCTGCTGGGAGGCGAGTGTCAGGTGGGCAGCGGCAGCATGAAGCAAAGTGTGTGAGATGGGAGACGTGATTTAGAGCCATCCTGCTTTCCAGCAGCAGCTGTGACTGCTTCCTATTTCTGGCAGTCATTAGAAGAAATCCACCCCCCCCCCCCCCCC